TTCAGCGATTGAATTTGCTATCGGAATTGGACTGAATGTATTGCCGATAGTAGCAAGAGCCTGCGATTCTTTATGATGGCTTCTTTAGCTAGCAATATGCAAAAGTGTGCTGTTCGGAGAACACAGTGACAAATATCGCGATCATGACGGCACTTTAATGAATATTATTGAAAACGTATTCAATAATACTGGCACCTGGATCGTTTTGAGCACCGCATTCCTCATTGCCATTTTTAGACCCAGATTCATTTAAAATGAATTACCATTAGCACCTTATCAAACGTTCCAACTTCACACAAGCACATTTCTAGTATTGTAGTGCACTCAAACATTGATGCTGTTGTTCACACTTTGTAAAATTTATTTTGCTTCAATAAATCATAAGCACAATTCGGTTAAAGAAGCTACATGTGAGGCTACGTTTGATTTACTAGTATAACAGCTAACAGATCTTATACAGTTCGAATTAAATTCAATCATCGGCATCATTTGTTCAATGTTAATCTTCCACAGATGCATATCACGATTCATTAGGCGGGTTCATAATAGAGCAGTAGTGTGGCTGCTGTCATGAAGACAGCTAAAATTGTGTTCATTCGGAAGATGTGATCTGCAGCATCCGAGCGAGGAGTACTGGTCGTGTCTGCAGCATTCGAGCGAGGAGTACTGCTCGTGTCTGCAGCATTCGGGCGAGGAGTAGGGATCGTGTAATGCCACATGTCGGTGGACGTTGAAGTGACATCAGCACAGAGCTGAAACAAAAATCTCACATGAAACAGCACTGCGTGTTAACTGTCGTTTCTTGAGTATGCAGTCAAACAACTATGCATTTTGCACTTCACGTTTATGCAATTTTCAGCTTGTTTTCATTGCTTGCAACTTCAATACCTCATGACTTATATCATTGAAGTGGTATGCCTCCTTGATTGCAATCCAATTTTGTAGATACAAAATGGTAATGAATGAATGAAAATTAGACACAATGATAACTTAATCTCACCACGGCTGGATCTCCTGGATAGAATACCTTGGCTGCTTCACGC